GGCTTATGCTGAGATAACGCTAGGTTGACTTTGGCTTATGCTGAGATAACGCTAGGGCGACTTGGGCCAAGGCTGATATCACTCTTGAGCGACTTGGGCTTAGGCTGAGATAACGCTAGGGGACTTGGCCTATGCTGAGATAACGCTAGGGCGACTTGGGCCTAGGCTGCGATAACGCTAGGGCGACTTGGGCCTAGGCTGCGATAACGCTAGGGCGACTTGGGCCTAGGCTGAGATAACGCTAGGGCGACTTGGGCCATTACTGAGATAACGCTAGGGCGACTTGGGCCTAGGCTGCGATAACGCTAGGGCGACTTGGGCCTAGGCTGAGATAACGCTAGGGCGACTTGGGCTTATGCTGAGATAACGCTAGGGCGACTTGGGCTTATGCTGAGATAACGCTAGGGCGCATTGGGCCTAGGCTGAGATAACGCTAGGGCGACTTGGGCCTAGGCTGAGATAACGCTAGGGCGACTTGGGCCTAGGCTGAGATAACGCTAGGGCGACTTGGGCTTATGCTGAGATAACGCTAGGGCGACTTGGGCTTATGCTGAGATCACTCTTGAGCGACTTTGCCCTAGGCTGAGATCACTCTTAAGGGTTTTGAGCCTCGGCTCAGATCACTCCACCTAGGCTCCTGGTTCAAATGATTCCACTTACTTTTTCAAATGTCCATATTTTGTTGTATGTTCGTGTACGTTTAGGTTTAAGTTGATACATTTACTGTCGGCCTTAATGGTTGTTCTCATTTCGAGTTGATGGAACCTATTTGAAAGTGACCCATACACATCCTTATGATACAGTCGGAACTGAATTATGGACTTTTTATGATTACCGAAAAGATTTTGTCGTTTACATCTAAAAATTGTACATTTTCCAACTTTTGACGTACATTCGAGGCTTGCCGAGGATTTTTTTACTCTTTTATCAATGAGTGTTGATATATTTGATATAAAAAGACACGAGGTTAAGATTTAATTTATGATCCACATCATTCTTCCAACTTTTTCAGTTTGTAGAAAGTAATAAGCAGTGTCTTAAGTGTAGAAAGTAGTGCTAACAGCTTCAGTAGCAGAGCCATTAGTGATGTCATTTGATTGTGACGTCATTGCAACAATGACGCCATAATGGTCTGCATACATTGTGATGCAATTTCAATGCAGCGATATCTACAATGTAAATATTGCTTGATCTCACCCAAGCAATTTCTCCTGTGGGAGCCAGTTTTGGATGATAAATGGATGTTTTGCTTCTATTTATGGATGAGGAAGGGTAGCAGACAATTCTCTAACATATCTACTGATTGCTCTGAAGAAGATCCATATCCCGATCAGAACAGCTGATATAGACAGATGCAGATGGATGATTATAGAAATACCAGCAAGGGATATGTATACACCAGAAACATAAATTTTTTCCCGACTTATAAAATGTAATGTAAAATAAAAGTGTGTGTTGTTCATTCAGTTGAAGCTGGAAAATTTGGACTTTTGACAGATATTTTCTCTATTAAAGGATAAGTGACAATCGGTTTTGTGGAATTATTAGTTAATTCATGACACATTATTATCAGGAAAAATGCCTTAATATACTTTAATCAGCATTCTCCCAACCGGGACATTTTGTTGCCATGTATGCATAACGTGTCGTCCGTTATTTGATGACGTCATTGTATTCCCGAGTGACGTCATGTGCATCCCATGCAAGGGCACATAGGACGGACTTAACCTGTTTCTGTATTGGAGCGCTGTTTACACATAAACCCACAAAAGACATCAATGAAACAGAAACAAGAATGTTTTCTCCAGTAACTGCAAATAATAACGACAAATCCCATTTAATATTTATAAGAAACCTTATAAGCAGAGAAGATTGTACGATTCCGACTATATCATGGGCATGTGTTTATGAATCACTATTAAATAGTAATGATACCAGGTTTTCGCGAACAGGTAAGCATACCATGCCCCACCCGTGGCACCCGTCACAAACACATGCAAAGACAAGTCAATTGTTCACCTGATTAAACACGGGAACATACGAGGGGTGTTCGTTAAAGATTTCCCCTAAACCACTTAGGGTTATCATATTTGGTTGAAATTTCACATGTGTAATGATACATGTATCTATGGGTTATGTCTGAATTTGCAGCACCGAACTATTAATCTTACCACTTTTACAGGTGTTATGATCGAGTAGGGTGTGACAATGGAGCCAGTAGAATACCGAGCAGTGATTAGGTTTTTATATTTGAAAGGTCGCACTTCAAAAGAAACTTTCAATGAAATGAAAGCAACTTATGGGGAAGATGCCCCATCATATGACGTTGTTAAACACTGGCATCGCCAGTTCAAGTGTGGTCGGACATCTGTGGAAACAGCTGCCATTCCTGGTCGCCCCCATTCAGCCATTAATGAGGACACTATCCATCAATTGGAGACCGCCATTTTGGCAGACCGACGTATAACTGTTCGCCAGTTAGCACAAGATGTCAAGATCAGTGTAGGGTCTGTGGAAAAAATCATCCATGACAATTTGAACATGCATAAGATGTCTGCACGATGGATTCCCAGGTTGCTCACACCTTTCCAAAAGCAGGAACGAGTCAATTGTTCAAAGGTTCTTTTGGACATGTGCCAAAAAAAACAGGCAAACTTTTTTGACAGACTTATCACACAGGATGAAACATGGGTCCATCACTATGATCCTGAGACTAAAGTTCAGTCGATGCAATGGAAGCATGTGGAGTCACCACCCCCAAAGAAGGCACGTGTCCAGCCCTCTGCAGGCAAGGTCATGCTCACGGTGTTTAGGACCAGCACGGAGTAGTGATGATGGATTTCTTGGCAAAGGTTACCACAATTACAGGAGCTTATTATGCTTCACTGCTGCGGAAAGTGCGGGACGCTATCAAGCTTAAGAGGCGTGGCATGCTGACCAAGGGTGTCCGTCTCCTGCAAGACAATACTCCAGTACACAACTCTCATGTTGCCCAGACAGAAGCGCGGTCCTGTGGCTATGAAATACTTCCACATCCTCCTTACTCTCCTGACCTTGCACCATCTGACTTCCATCTCTTTCCAACCATGAAGTCATTTTTGAAGGGAAAACGTTTCACAGATGATGAAACACTGATTTCTGAAGTCAAGTCCTGGTTTGAGACGCAAAATGAGGGCTTTTACAAGCGAGGTCTCCATAGTTGCATTAAACGATGGGAGAAGTGTGTAACTCTTGGTGGTCCCTATGTGGAGAAAGACTAATACCTATGCCAAGTTTTATTCCACTAGGTCCATCGGAAGTGGGTCAGGGGAAATCTTAAATGAACACCCCTCGTACAAGTAAAAATAGGGAATTGAATTGGACATCATGTTTGTCACTTAAACGTCAAGATTATTAGGAGGTAAGATTGGGTCATGAGTTTATGCAAAATACAGCACAGCTTCGAAGCGAACGGCTACTTGTAGTATTGAATGAAATCTATTGTGTTGGGCTTATGCGGGTTGTAAAAGGACTGTGCAAGAGATTTGAGGTATTTCATTGTCCAGAGTGAAATATGTTTAGAATACCCATACTCTAGGCACAACAAGTCTCTATGAAGAATAAAATAAATCACCTCATTTGAAAATATATGGTAGTTAGGAATGTTGTTTGTTTGTTGTTTAACGCCGCACTCAGCAATATTCCAGCAATATGACGGCGATCTGTAAATAATCAAGCCTGGACCAGTAGTAGTTATTTGTGAAAGCATATACCACCGGTGTTATTTCATGACTGCATAGTGACAGCGTGTCTTGCCGTAGTGAATTTGGGCAAGATTAGATAAAAACAATCTTAAATATATAATAAATTCGTTAACGTGACTAGCGTTGGAGGTCACAGAGTAACAAAAACATGAACCACTGGCGACGATACCATAAAGTTTATAAACGGTTACAAATGCATGGGTTTTTTTAATGTAATGTATCTCTATCCACATTTAAGACAACCCCTGCAACTGTGTATTAAAATCGGATCAAGAGCAAAAGTGTCGAAAGAATGTAACCATTGTAATAGACATTGCTATGACTATGATTGCCATATTATTGTGCACTGTGAAATGTTTATGCCTGACAGAAATAATTTCTCCTCATGCCTGATTGATAAACTTGATGTAGATGTATATGTGAAAATAGATATGCTTGACGATGATGATATGCTTTCATTCTTTCTCGGTGCAGATGTCCATGACTTGAGTAACGAACTTGATTACGATACTTGGCAAAGCATCATAATGACTTTCTGCCACTTCATATTGAATTTAAAGAAACACCTTATGTATTTCTACTAGATACCTTACTGCTCTCAAAATGTACATTGTAAATTATTTATTCATAGCAGTGTATAACATGACTTCATTGTATATAGTCAAGTAATTTCATTGATGTATTGTAAATAATGTATTTGCCCAGGTAAAATCTTCGGATTCAACTCTGGAGGAAATAAATTCATTCATTCATTCATTCATTCATTCATTCATTCATTCATTCATTCATTCATTCATTCATTCATTCATTCATTCAACCATTTAATACAACTATACATTTAACATTGCAACCTGGAAAGTTTTTGATATAGAGCTTCCTGAGGATCAATTAAAAATACATTAGGAATACTAATAATTCTGTGAAGCATGTATTTGAATATAGTATTCAGTGTGTACCAACACTGTTCCTGTCATTTACACTATTACACAGAGTGGCGTTTGTAGTGTATTTAATACTCTGTTCACCATGACACTAGTTCTTCAAGGGACACAGCTATTGACGATGTCTTTTGCAAGTAGTGCTGGTTATAATAACAATGCAATCATTGAGATGTGTGTTATTAAACACATAACGCTGCATTAAATAGCACAGAAGTTCAGTATAATGCGCCAGCTATTATATTAAACAGCTATAGAGATATTCCAATGTGATCAACATATTTATTATTTCTGAGACCTGTCAGTGTTGAACCTTGTCCATTACCACATACACATTCGTTGATACACTAACAGTGCCTCCACGTCAATACGGGCCTGCGCACACAGCCTAAGGTCTATTGTGTGTGAACCCCTCGACTTGTATCTGCTTCTACTTCGCTGTGGCTGACGGATCAAGGAGTTACGTCTTCAGGTACGTGCTGTCACATTAATCCGAACAATTATCAACTTTTTCATCGTTTAAAGTTTTGTTTAGAGAAACCATCATTCGGTTGCTGACAGGTTCAGGTTTAAAAAAAATTGTCTGACCAATGCGCCTCCGTGGTCTCGTGGATAGAGCGTCTGCCCATGGAGAGCGGAAAGACGGTTGTTCCAGTCCACTGTCGGTACATTGAAAAAGACGTTAAAATGTGGTACTTGTTGTTACTTTGCCTGGCGTTCGGCATTCCGGGGATAGTCGGCTCTCAGTATATATAGGGTATCCATATTAAACAGCGGCATGGTATCTCAGTAGCAGCTTGGTCCACGCACGCACGCACGCACGCTCACAAACTCACACACAGTCACAAACTCACACACGTCTTCTATAAATATTAATGTACTGAAGCCTTTGACAGTGAATATATATATATATATAAGATGAGTGACCGTAACAATTAGAAATCAATGCGAAGACCCACTATTCAAAAACTTTAGTACTATAGTCCTATGACAGCATTTCTGTAATAAAGATTGATTGATTGACGCACACACACACACACACACACAAACACACACACGTAATATAATCTTGAACGCGACGCCAAACCCCATTTCACCCTAACTCAGTTCAAAGATCACCATACGCTGGTTACTGACTGACTTTGGGTCTATGTAGCAAGTATGAAAGTGCTCAATATTACTATTACTATGAGATATCTGAGCCGAGTCAGTGTTTGTGGTGTGTACCTACATATTGACGCCCGATGCACATTGTGATATTGTATGTACCGACTACAGCGTGAATCTTTAAACTCAACTCATTTCAGGAAATGGTTTTGATTCATAATGCCAGTCTATCTATGTTTGTACATATGTCTGGGAGAAAGAAAGTTTCACGAACATTGAGGGTGACTGGTTTCTTTCATATTGACGCCAGATGCACATTATGATCTTGTATATACCGACTACCCACGCGTGAATCTTTGAAATCAAATTTCAGTGAGTGAGTGAGTGAGTGAGTTTGGATTTACGTTGCTGTTAGCAATATTCCAGCAATATCACGGCAGGGGATACCAGAAATGGGCTTCACATATTGTCCCAATGTCGGGAATCGAACCCGGGTCTTCGGCGTGACGAGCGAACTCTATAACCACTAGGCTACCTGACCGTCCCTGACTCAATTCACCTTTTGCATAACGCCAGTCTATCTATGTTTGTAGATATGTCTGGGAGAAAGAAAGTTTCAGTGACATTGAGGGTGACTGTTTTTTTTTCAAAACGAGATTTCCAATTGATGCGCTTAGGCCCCCCCTGCCATGACATAAGTGCATGTTTGTGCTGCAGGTTAACGATGAAGAAGCTGGACAGAGCCTAGTCGACTTACCCACAATGCACAGCAACTGGAAACACAGTGGGACCACCAGAAGCATTCTTCGCCGTAAACAGTCAAAACGTGCTGACATAGCACTCTTGGACATTAGCGGTCAAGGCAGGTTTAATGTTTATTGAATACAATCTACGAACCCATGAGCGGTCACTCGGTATGAATCCAAACTAATAACCTTCAGTAAGACTTCATAAAAACAGTTACACGCGTATTCGTGTCCCTATATTATGGTATACAAGCTATTCATGTCTACACGAGAACGCTTCTATATTTATTTTGTTTTGCTGACTTTTAATCATATCTGAGACAGCCAGTGCAAATCTGTATTGGAAACATCCTTCAAAACGTTTCTGCTACACAGTAATTATAACCTGTGTATTGTACTTTGACATAGAAAATCCGTTTCTAGAATATCATATTCCATATTCCTATAACTTTTTATGAGCAGCACATAATACGTTTTGGATTTATGAGAGTGATAATTGTATATCCTTGAACTTGAACTTCCCTGTGTATTCACCATACTAATAGTGACTGATCATCGACTGTAACCCGATCAACTACGAACACCATGTAACTTGTGACTAAACCTTTCTCTTAAACCATACAGCTGAGCGACTGAAAGTCAACACAATGTTTGGTATGGTGACTGAAGACATTATGCAACGCTATGCAGGGTGTATTGTATGAATGTATATATGTATGAATGGTCAACTCAATGCTATATAGTGTCATTGCTGAATAGTTAGCTTAGTGAGTCGCTGTGTCATATGCGCTACTTTACAAAATGTAACTGTACATATCACAAACCAAAGGCGAGTTGATGCGCCCTATACATGTTATTACCTTCACTTTGTGCTGACCTGTTTCCCACCTCCTGCAGGCGAGCGCATGCGTGTTGTTTGCTGTTTGACGCCGCACTCAACAATATTCTAGATATATGATAACAGTGTGTAAATAATCGAGTCTAAACCAGATAATCAAGTGTTTGACATCATGAACACAATACTATCAATATGTAGTGATGGCACTGTTCATGTTTGACACATCCTGTAGACGAGTATATTCATTGTAAAGGATATACATGTTGATATTACCCATATATTTGACACATCTTGTAGACGAGTATATTCATTGTAAAGGATATACATTTTGATATTACCCACATGTAGTGATGGCACTGATCATGTTTGACACATCATGTAGACGAGTATATTCATTGTAAAGGATATACATGTTGATATTACCCACATGTCGTGATGTCACTGATCATGTTTGACACATCATGTAGACGATTATATCTATTGTCAAGGATATACATGCTGATATTACCCATATGTTTGACACATCCTGTATACGAGGGCGGTCGGGGAGCCTAGTGGTTAATGTTTTCGCTCGTCACGCCGAAGATCTGGGTTCCATTCCCGCAGGGGTACAATGTGTGAAGCCCATTTCTGGCGTCCCCCGCCATGATATTGCTGGAATAGGTTAAAAGAGGCGTAAAACCATACTCACTCACTAACTCATCTGTAGACGAGATTATTCATTGTCAAGGATATACATGCTGATATTTCCCATTTGTTTGACACATCCTGTAGAAGAGTATATTCATTGTAAAGGATATACATGCTGATATAACCCATATGTTTGACACCTTCTGTAGACGAGTATATTCATTGTCAAGGATGCACATGCTTATATAACCCATATGTTTGACACATCCTGTAGACGAGATTATTCATTGGAAAAGATATACATGCTGATATTTCTCATATGTTTGACACATCCTGTAGACGAGTATATTCATTGTAAAGGATATACATGCTGATAGTACCCATATGTTTGACACATCCTGTAGATGAGTTTATTCATTGTAAAGGATATACATGCTGATAGTACCCATATGTTTGACACTTTCTGTAGACGAGTATATTCATTGTAAAGGATACACATGCTTATATAACCCATTTGTTTGACACCTCCTGTAGACGAGTATATTCATTGTAAAGGATATACATGCTGATATTACCCATATGTTTGACACCTTCTGTAGGTAGGACTGTGTCCTTGGAATCGTGCCGCATCAGTCAGTTGTCTGTTGGCATCACCGGTGAAGACTTCAAGGCGGAGGTAACGAACACACTTTCTAACATGACATGTATATAAAGAAAGAATTTGATATAAAGCCAGTTCATTGAACTAACTGCAAACTCCAGGCGTGTTCAAACATACTTGCCTGACGTTATCAGTTGGTCATTGTTGTTTAATAGCACAGACAGCAACACGCTAGCTAAATCACAGCTGCCTGTCACGTTTGGGATATTGAACAGGCAAAGCCAGTGACCGAAATTATGTTTAACAACTACCAGCTCTTACCACATACGTGTGGATATATTCTTCACCAAACTCACACTGAGATATTGCAAAGCGATTCACCGCAGGTTGAAATCATGATCAAGACTGTAATGATATACACGAAAGATATAGGCAGTGTCACAATTTCGAAACCAAATCCATGAAGGAGAAAATGGAAACAAATTTGAATAGCAGCAGATGTCAAGTGCAGTAAAACTGGTGACACTTGGTATATATTTGTACAGGTAGACTTCAGACTCTTGATATGAGGTTTAGGCTAACAAACTAAATATTATATCACACTATACAAGGAGTTATGGGGTTTTCGAGATTAATGGGATCTGAGCAAGGACTTTATACGCTCAAGGTGTGTCATTCATGAAGCTGTTGATTGAGTGAGTGAGTTGGGTTTAACGCTGCTTTTAACAATATTCCAGTTATATCGCGGCGTGTCAGCTTAATGTGGGAAGAAAGCCAGAAGTAATGCAGGTCTCAGATGTTTACCACTTCGATGAAACCCGCAAGCACGGGTATGGTGCTGACAAACCTAGGAACTAAATCGGGGCGAACTGGGATTCGAACCCACAATCATAGGTTTCTGGCTTGCCCAAGGGACGCAACTCTGCAAAGCTAATTGCGGCGCCTTTCACGACTAGGCCACCCGTGCCCCCAGAAGCTGTTTTGCACAATAGGTTTACATTCATTTTCAAGTATTTGTATCGCTGAAAGTCCGTGGTTTATGTGGCAAATGTACTTAAAGCAACCTTTTAATACGTATAGTCATCTTTCCCTCTATATTAGGTCCTGCAGAAGAGACAGTCCAACTTCATCACAAAGCTCGATGCAGCGGCTGCCGTTTTGATTGAGCGACTCATCAAGAAGAAGGGGAAGGATGAGGCCTTGTTACAAGTTGTCTCCAAACGAGATGACGAGAAAGAGGTACTGGTGAAGTATTGGAGTACATTCACATTATATTGTTTTGTGTTACCTTCTATGAAGTGCACAATGTCAACCTGCTTTCCGGCCATTTGTACCTTGAATCAGTATTGAGTGAGTGAGTGAGTTTGGATTAACGCCGCTTTTAACAGTATTCCAGTTTTATCGCAGTGTGTCAGCTTAATGGGATGCAGGTCTCAGACGTTTACCACTTCGGTGAAACCCACGAGCACGGGTATAGTGCTGACAAACGCAGAAACTTAATTGGGGCGAACCGGGATTCGAACCCACAATCATAGGTTTCTGGCGTGCCCAATAGACGCAGCTTGGCACAGCGAATTGCCGCGCCTTAGACGACTGGGCCACCCGTGCCCCCTTGAATCAGTAAGGTGTGTACCATCACAATTTACATTGTTTCATATTTTTCATATTACCTCCACAAACGAGTGGCTAACGGGATCCGGTGGTATCGCAATATGGATCGATTGGTTGGTTGGTTGTTTAACACCACATTCAGCAATATTTCAGCTATATGACGGCGGTCTGTAAACAATCGAGTCTGGACGAGACAATCCAGTGATTAATATCATGACATGCATGACCAATTCAGCGAGCCTGACCACCCGATCCCGTTAGTCGCCTCTGACAAGCATAGTCGCCTTTTACGGCAAGCATGGGATGCTGAAAACTTATTTTACCCTGGATCTTCACGGGTCGTACATATTGTACCTGTGACATGTCATGTTTAAAAGGTGCTGAGATTGGTGAGCAGTTTGCTTCAGCGAGGGGCAACTTTGTCAGCCAAAGACAGCACTGGACAGACTGCCCTCCACGTTGCAGTCAGAAAACAGTTCAAGAGTGTGTGTAGAAAATTGACAGAGGGAGACTGTTTGAGTTATGACAGAGACAACAACGGCAAGATGCCCTACCACCTCGCTATTGACCACAGCAACGACTACATCGCCGCTCTGCTACTCAACCACATGCCAAACGCCCTGTGAGCTGACTTCATGTATTGTGTACATTCGAGTGTCTGTGTTGAAATGACTATGATATTGCACACATTTACTCGCACTGTCATGGTAGTGATGTGTTTATGATGTATGACTAAACTTTTGTTGTAGCAAATCAATAAAACCGATACAAGACTAGTATAATCAGCCACACGCACACGCGCGCGCACACACACACACACACTCACGCACACACAAATCCCGTTCCACCTCACCTCACCTATATCCGTTATTTCTAGTGTCCGAGATCTTTACATCGCCTCGACAGCGGAAGACAAAGCAGAATGCAACTTCATGACACCCCTGCAGAAGAACATGCCGGTAGGTCAATAGATCGCTTTTATCCAAATTGCAGCAACATCACCAGAAATAGGTCACTGGACATGGGCTTTACACATTGTAACCAAAGGTTGAATCTAACGACACTGTTTTATAATATTGTGAAATGAATGGTGAATAATATATATGAAAATCTTTATATTACCATAGAAATCCATCAATTATCTTCCATGTATCTGCATACACACAATGATGACTGGTAGCAAGGGATGTCTCCTTTTAGTGATTTCCAAAAACCTATTACAATCTAAAATGTTAATTCGTTGGGGTATAAAACCCCCTTTATAACACAGTAAGTGATTGTGTGCTTGTAAAAGTTGCTGACCACGCCCAATGGCTGATAGGAATGTTGGCTTCGTCCCTATACTGTTCTAAAGTGTCTCATTTTTAAAGATACGTGCAAAGTTATTGCTTCTCTTCTGTGTACAGCAAACAGCTATAGGAGTTTTGGATTCCATGCTGGACCCTGTCGATGACTTTGGGAACATGGAAGTATTCTTTGATCTTCTCGAGTCCGATGAACAGGGCAGAAGTCCTCTACACCCGTCCTTTAATACAAAGAGTAAAACCTATCTTTACCACATCGCGCATCTCCAGCCAAAGGTGATCCAGACATCAGTCTTGTACTCTTCTTAATATAAAATAGCGTTTTTCTTATTTGGCATTGCAGTTGCCTGTTCTCTAAAGTTGATATGAACTTCAAAGTAATTGATGTCAGTCAGACAGATGCGCTGTTTTAGACTTGCCACCTATGATTTGAGGCAGCTGTAAACATATTTAAGATGCTTTTGTTACTGCAGTATATCTTGTAACTATTTTGTCCAGGAGGTGGCGTTTCACAGTGTAGTTCGCCTCCTGACCAGGAAGAAGTGGAAGCGCTATGGCAGATACTGGTTCCTGTGAGTGCAGAAATGGAATATATTACACATATGTTCACATTAATTATATCATGTAGAAGGCTTTTCATCCATGTCCCAGAACAAAACTGTGACCAGCAGTGATCAGCAAAGTTCCACGACATCACAAACAGGGTGCAGGGAACTTTAACCTTCCAGGAATACCCTACAAGAAAAAATAAAATAATGTCCTTTCGAAGTTATTCTTGTGATTTGTGAATACCACATGAAAATGAAATTAATGCCACGTCCGTCTCTTCCTAGGATGAAATGCATGTTGTTTATTGCTACCCTGTTTGCAATAACATTTTCTGCGATCACTGGCGCCATGGCTTCTGACCCCCGGCATTACAGCACCCCCCTGGACAAAGCCCGTGCCTTCTTTGAAGTCTTGAGCTGCTTGGCTGTTGTCGCCACTCTGGCTTTTGAGGCATACCAGATGTTAAAGTAAGTACATAGTATTACTCAATTATCCCCACCATAAATATGGAGGGGGGTATAGGAATCAGTGCTGTCCGTCCTTCTGTCTGTCACATTTTGTTCTGGCGCACTTGCACAAAGCGATCTTAGCGCTTAGGCTTAAGATAACCTTAGCGCTAAGATCACTTTGAGCAAGTGGCCCCTGGAGAAGTGCTCAAAGGCAATTCCATATATCTTGATCAAAGTTAGCACAGCTCTCCACATTGCCAAGGACTGGTGCCATGTGCTATTCAGGAAGTTCGGAAATTTGTATTTTGTTCTGGGTTTTTATAACAAACAATTCAAATCAATGAACTATTGATGAACAATTCTTATATCTATCAAGTTATGAACTGATTTCCTTTATGTTTATCTCTATAAATTCTTAAACTCCATTGAAACAAATAGCAAATCCCAGTGCATCCAGTGATTACCACAGCTCCCAGTGATGTTCTCTTATAAACATCGTGAGACTTCACTCCATCTCCTGGTGGGTTAAATATAATCTCATAATCGAGGATGCTTCCACGTCCAAGCGATTTTATATGCATAAGAGGGAAAAAGTCTTGTGCGCTATAAAAAATCACATCAAAATAAAATTGCGCTGGACTTTGAGAATCATGCATGATAATAACTTGATGACCCTGGAATTGCACGTGTATCCCAGGCATTGCATGCATAAATCCTGTTAGAAATTCGTGTTGTACATATTTGTAGTTTCTATACTTGACCAGTGAACATTTGCTGAAAAGCTATTACATCAACCTATTGGATGTCACTTTATGCTGACTTTGCAGATACAGATGCGACTACTGGAAAGACAGGACCAACTATTTTGACCTCTTGGCATCCATCCTGCTGCTGCTCGTCATCCCTCTCAGGTTCGCCCATCAACAGGAGCAGTGGCACGTCTTCTCTGTTGGCTATCTCCTGTGGACGCTCAGAATATTCGAATACGCAGTCGTCTTCAGGTTGTATAAGGCAGACACTATAAGCATTTTTATACTAGGATATACTGATATTTATACTTATACTATTATTGATAGTCTGGTTTTAGAAGCTGAGTGGGATCTCACACCTGTGAATAAGCCTGTTGCTTATGAAATGTGAGTGGGGCTTGAAACTGATTTAGTTCAGATATATCATGTTGGAGAGCTTGATATTGACCATAATCTTTAATATAACTGAAACTATTTGAGACAAGTAGACCTACTAGCCTGTGGATTCTGAAAAACTCAAAGGAACTTGAATTTTGTTACAATCTGTGATGGCACCAAGCGCTGATAGCTAAGCTTGGCAACTACATGCACTTACACCTATATCTTCAGATGTTCAGGACAATTTGTCAGAAGTTTACTCAGAAAGCAATATGTGAAATGCTAGACTTGCCTACTGATGACATCCCCCTGGGCACCCATTGTGTTCCCTTTGTAGCTGATCTGTTTCTTTATGCATATGAATCGGAAGTTCCATTGATTTACCCACATGAACGAGTAATAAAGAGACGAGTCTGCCCCATCTTTCTAACATTAGATCTCTGCGTAAAGATTGAGAGATGACTTCAACTTTGCAATTGCCTACTTCCCCTTAATGTTGAGCAGTACTCCAGAAGCTCTATTTTTTGTTGTCTATACTTCACAACTTTTTAGGTACTATGAAGCATGTGTTTTCTACCAATATTTAAAAGAGTGCTGTGAGACACTTGCTGCAAAGTTTTTGATCAGGGCTCAACATTCAAGGCTGCAGTAAGACTATTTAAAAGTTTAATGGTCGACATGTGGAGGACAGTTCCAATTTTGACGCATCAATGAAAGAAATGGTCTCTGATGCAATTCCTGATTTTGAATACCTGGTATCATAAATATTTGAATAAGGATTCATAAACACATGCTCATGAAATAGTCGGAATTGTACAATGTACTGTGCTTTGTGTAGAGATTGATTATGGATATGATTATGGAAATGATTTTGTCTCGTTTAATTGCATGATGCTATTGTGGATCGTTTCAGATTAATTGATATGTGATAAATGCAACATTTAGATAAGACAACTAGTCATGTTGTTTCTTATGATACGTGAGGTGAAATTGACGAACGCACCACAATAAGTTGAAGTCTTTTGATCAGTGTTACAACATTCAAGGCCTCAGTAAAGCTTTCAATAGGTTTCATGGCGGACATGTCCAAATTTGCCGCATCCACGCCAAAAATGATATCAATATAATTCCCCTTATTACATGTACCATACACTTTTTAAGGTGAACAATTGACTAACATTTGCAAGTGCTTTTGATTGGTGGCACTGGTGGAGCAGGATGCACTTACCTTTTCACAACACCTGGTATCTTCTTGATAATGATTCATAAACATTTGCGTATGATATGGTTAGAATCATATACTGGATTGTTTTTCAAGCTGAGATTTCTTATGATTAGAAACATGGTGTTTATTTTATTTACATATAGTGGTGCCAGGAATCTGTAATTGGGGTTCGAAGCTCACCCTTTTTCAAAGGTTTAGTGCCCCAGAACTATGACTGATAAACTTGTACAATCTGTGCTTTTAAGGGTTTTCTCTACAACTTAAATGATAGGGATACAACTGAAATAATATTGGTATTAAAATGTTCACAATGGTTGCAGACACAGTGGAGCCCACGCTCAGATTCTGTGGCGCATCATCACGAGTGACTTCTTGCAGTTCTTACTCGTGTTTGTCATCATCCTCCTTGCCTTTAGCGGATCACTCATCATGGCGCTCAGGGGAGATAACTCTCTCCACGTGCATACTGAAACAAGGTACTAAGCATTTATATAACGCTAAAATCAAGCTAAAAATAACTGCTGGAAAGAACTGTTTGAGTCTGCAGGATACTGGACATAACAAGAGAAATGGTTATGTATGGTTCAGTGAAGTGATAAGGTGGTCAGTTCTTTAATTCTTTAGAGGTTGAGCGGCAGAGTGTTTAACAGCGAAGGCGCAGGTCTTGCAAAGCAGCTATCCACACAACTAGATGTAGGAACGAAGAGTAGGTGTTGACTGCATGATCTTGATGACTGATTCCCTGTATAGGTTCCCGAAGATAGGCTGGTGTCTTTAATCAGCTTGCATCACTTTACCATATCAGTTTACTCATCCAGTTAATGTATCAGTGACTTGTTTGGTGGAAAAAGTCACACTAAAATACTGCATTTCCTTCATTCTAGCGCAATGAGGACAGGATTTGACTCCAACCAGAAGAGTGTTTTTTGCATGTATTTACCGTGTTTGTACCATGTGAAATATTTATTTGCTTTCAATTCACAAAATGAATTCAGGTGAAATCAAAGTATCAGTTTTAAAAACCTTACCAAAATATCACACTTACGTGACCAATTTTACACTTACATGACTACCTGTGCACTAACATGACTAATTTGAGACTCACATGCCTATCCTAAGGTAAAGACTCAAGGGTGAACAATGATGAAGGTAGGTGGCCAAAAATCGATAAAGGGATGAGAAACTTTATGTGATCAAGGTATAGGGGATGAATATAATTATTTACTTGTATGTATGACTGAGAAACTTTTTGTGACCAAGGCATAGATGATGATTATCATTATCTACTTGTATGTGCTACTCATGATGCTATTAGAATTAAATATCGACCAAAGACATGTATTACTAATGTAAATAAATTTAAAATGACAATTGCCAAAAATAAAATCACTATGCCTGTTTGTTTTTCATGCTTTTGCAAAAGAAATTATTGTTAAACAATGTTTAAAATGATGTATTCTGCCACTACAAAACTTGCAAATTGTTCAGAAGTGATACTCATAAGGAAGAGAATTTATCGATGTCAACTTCTTTATTATGAGGAACACGCGCTGTGAAATATTCATTAGTTTTTAATGAAGAAGTTGACATCCATAAATTCTCTCCGTTTTGTTAATTGTTATTGGTATATGGGCCTATGGTCTTCATACTTAATAAAGTATTGATTGATTGATTGATTGATTGATTGAACCTAACGTTAACACTCACTGACTTAATATACGTTGACCCTTTCTTGTGAAGTACTTTCTGGGACATTCTGTTCACGGGTTTACGGATACTTGTGAAGAAATCGCCCGTGGTGACCTGCACAGGATCAAGTGGATATGGGTATGTATGATGAGGACGGTCAGAATACAGCTGTATTGATCACTGTTAATCTTAAAATGGGGGTTTGAAACGAGGCTTTCGAAAGCTTGATTTTAAAGTGACCAACGCTGACGTTTTTTTTTTATCCTGTAAGGAACCTTCTTTATTATAGACTCAATCTATGATCGATTCTTTAGAAAGAGAGTTTTACAATTAACCCAATCTCACCTGTAAGGAGATCCCCAAAACGCAGATGGAAAAGGTTTACGTTACTGTCTGGACGTGCTTACTCAATCAGGTATGTCAACACAATAAGCTTCTTTGTGTCAAACACATTCACTCATTGTCGGACTCACGACTGCTTTCTATTGGAAAGCAGCTTGAAATGTCAGGTGCTTCTCGTCACGTTTCTCATAACTTGAACGTGGAAAACGCATTGCATGCATTTAGAGCGGAGGCGGTCGTAGTGCGACGTCATCAGAGGTTTATAATTTGGCATATATCCTGTGTTCGTACGTTGACAGGACTTTCAGCTGCATCCTGATGTTCATCTTCCTCTTCACCTGCATCGTCGTTCTCCTACACATCCTTATCGCCCAGCTCAGTCACACCTACCAGAAGGTGCAGCAAGATGCGCAACGTGCTGTGGAGCTAAACAGGGCGTGGATCATAACCAGGGGTGACTTCGAGCTGAATGGGTTTCCCTTTATAAAAAGGGTATGATTCAGAGGAAGTATCATTTAGAGAAACGACAAACCAAAAGAAAATTCTTTTAAAAAATCTTATACTGTATTTAACATTAATAAAGTTATTTATGTAAACCAATGCAATATTTAGCCATATTAAACCAATAACAGTATGTCGATGTCCTGTCTCATTTTAGAATAAGCACCAGTGCATGTAAGGTATCAAGCAAAATATGTTGAACCTCCTAAGCCAAGCGTGTATGTCCCAAATTTAAATAATTTGTATGTCAATCTTGTGACTCATCTGTAGACTAGCATGCATACTCCTCAGGAAGTCGAGAATATAATTCCATCATATTCATGTCAATACATCACCGACTAGTGATGCCTCCTGCACTTCATTGTGGCCTCTTTTAGCTTTACTTATCCAGGGTCTTCCTGAGTGTGTTTGTGAAGTGATGTTCGACCCCGCCAGGTTTCCCCCTTATATTGAGCTACCCACGTTGTGTGATCTAACTGAAATATTGTGAAAAGTAGCTGCGACCATAGTCCAGCCATCGACTTTGGGTGTGATTATAATTAGAACACAATCAACATAGTGTGAAGACAATCACCAACGTCAACTGTACTTTCAGTTTTTCAGCACTGCTGAGAAGCAGGGAGAGGATAATGTTATCAATGTAGAGGAGGTCCTGGAGGCTTGGGAATGTCCCACCTCCAGCGAACAAACAACAGATATCAGACACATCAGGGAAGACCTTGACACATGCAAACTCCACCACAACACCGTGAACACCAAGCTGGCCCAGCTAGAGCACATCCTCAGAACTATTCAGTGAGTATACTTCATGCCCTCACAATCCTTCCATCCAGAGTGAGTGAGTGAGTAGGCGGTAGGGTGGTCGCTCGGTCGGTTTGGGTGAGTGGATCAGTGGATGAGTAAGTGAGTGACACTCGTCACAATTGTAAACTTTGTTAAGCCCTTGTTTGGTTTCAATCACAGTAGTATTGTCGGATCAGTGAGAAAAATCAGAATACACGTTGTCCGAATTATGTACACTAAGACACGTGGCTGTATTGGGTGCTTTATACTTCATGTAATCACCTCCACTGTAATGATGCCCAACTCTTCCAGTAAATTCAGGCTTATGCTTTCAGGGATCACCTACACTGTAATGATGCCCCAACTCTTCCAGTAAACCCAGTCATGAATGCAATCTCCGAAGATGAAGAGTTGGCTTCCGTGGAAAAGAGGAAGGGGCCGCAGGTGGAGCCACTGGGAGATCCTGCTGGCCTAGATGACGACTCAGTTGATGTCACGTGTGCGTGATTGCCATGACAACGATGGACCAATATCAAACGATTACAATAAGTGATGTATTATTGGAGTTATTATTGTACCTATCAGAGTCGGATCCAGAATTTTTTAATTTTTTTTACACAGAAGTCTACCCCAAAAATCCCAGACACCATCAACCCCCTACCCCGACCCGCCACTGACATATATATGTGTTGTCTACATATAGAAATCAACGTGTAAAAAACATGTCGAAATTGTAAAGTGTTTGAAACAGATATGTCCTTTGTTATTTTGTTACTTCTTCTGCGGCTGTCTCACAGAGTACGTATTCATTGTTATTTTTTTATACACTAATGAAGTAGTGCCATGAATGTTGGAATTATTGTGTGACATCATAAACATCCATTAATTTTATATCATCCATATTTTCATATAAGATGGGCTGATACAAAAGGTTCCCTTGATCTAAACCATATGTGGTTACTGGCCAGTATGTTGCGATTACCTTCGACCTCTTGAACTCCCATATTGATTGCATCAATATTTATTTTTACCTGCTGCATCCAATTTTCTTATTTATTGCTTCAGTAAAATATACCCTTGCAGTATACGATGTGAGATAATGTCTGGATTCCTTTCCTCAAAGTAGACTTTAGATGTCTCCACAAATAAATATTGAAACCAATATCTTCTGTTGTCATCCTCAGGCAGCTTGACTTTGTACATCTACCAAGATGTTAAAGAACGTTATACGACTCTTGTTTGATCAACGTTACAACGTTACAACATTCAAGGCCTCAGTAAAGCTTTCGAAAGGTTTTTGGTAGACATGTGGGGGACATCAACAATCAAGAATTTAGAATATTCAGCCCATACCATTTCCGACTCCAAATAGTTTACATGAAGGAGGACATCAACAATCAAGAAATATCAAGAATTTAGAATATTGAACCCATACCATTCCCAACTCCAAATAGTTTACATGAAGGAGGACATCAACAATCAAGAAATATCAAGAATTTAGAATATTCAGCCCATACCATTTTCGACTCCAAATAGTTTACATGAATCATTTCGTCGTCCACCCGTGAAGGTCCCGGTTAGAATCTTTAATAAGCCTGTCCACTTGCGAAAAACAACAATTTAATCCGACTTTGATTAATTTTTTTTGTATGAAACCACAAGGTGGAGCTCGGTGACTTCGTTGATTACAGTTTCTAATACTAACAATCACTGGATTGTCTGGTGTAGACTGGATTATTTACAAGCCGCCGTCATATACATGTTGGTGGAATACAGCGTGCAAGAACAAACAAATGCGCCCACAGACACAGACACAGAGACACAGAGACACAGACACAGACACACAGATACACAGACACAGACACACAGACACAGACACAGACACACAGACACAGACACACTGCTATATATCATATAAGACATGTGCTCGAAAACTATCTAAATAAATCTATTTGTCCTCCTCTAGTCTAACAGACTAAAATTGTATATATTCTTCAGTTGAGGTCGTTTCGTTTATACAATTACAATGTTATCATTTGGCAGTCGTGTGTGGTCGCTGGTAATCTCAATGCACACGTAGCTGTTGACACCACGTTGCTTGGGATCACTATTATACTGCATTGAAAGGCGTACATACCTGACAAGTGGGGCACTCGGATAACAATACACGCCACCCCATGTTAAACACTTGTCAGGCCTGACTGCCGACATGCGTGTATTATATCGCCTCTGTCATCTGTCCTTATGTTTGCATGCACCAGGACGTGTAGCGGGGAGACCGTCGAGGGGAAGGTAGACGAGAGCTACCACAACGTTGCTGTGGTGTAATTGTATGTGTGCATGTGCGATTATTCACTTCAAGAAACCAATTCTAGCCCGGACACGTACACCAAGTCAAGATGTGCAGAGTTGCATCACTTGGACACGCCAGAAGCCTTTGATTGTGGGTTCGAATCCCTGTTCACCCCGATAATGTTTCTAGGTACCCATGCTCGTTGGTTTCACCAGAGTGGCATTACTTCGGGCTTTCCTCCCACATCAAGCTTCAAGCTGACAGGCCGTGATATAATGAAATACTGTTAAAGGCGGCAATAAAACCCAACTCACCCAGTCACTTGTAACGTGTTTACTAACTACGTAGATCGATGCTCACGATGTCAATCACTGGATTGTCTGGTCTTCAGTATTTACAGACCTTTTCATATAGCTGGAATATTGCTCATATGGCGACAAACAAACATGCATCATAGATTTCCTCGGAGTACAATTAGCAAAATGCTATCGCTCGTACTCTTCACCAAAGTGGAAAACCTTTTCCGTTGGAAAGCTTGGGCTTTGATACAGCTGACCTGGCTCAGTGGACATAATGGTGAAAAGCAATGTAGCTTACTCACACACTTGATAAATTGACCTGAACAATTGACTTATACAGCATTGTGCGAAGGGATATCCGAAAATAAACTGTATAGTTTTGAAAGATCGATATTATTGTATGACACTGTTTGACCCATGAATATGTGGGTTATACAGCATTGTGCGAAGGTATATCCCGAAAATAAACTGTATACTTTTGAAAGATCGATATTATTGTATGACACTGTTTGACCCATGAAAATGTGTACGACCTCAAATGGTCATCTTCAGAATCTGTTTGTTAGGTCCGGTCACGTGATGACGCACGAGCAGACGAAAGTTTCCCCGTGTGCCATTGAACATTGCCTGACAACAATGTGGATATTTCATTCACTCACTCACTCCCACCGAGATTGTGTCCCATACGAACCATGCTTGTCATGCAGGTTTGTTGCGAGACAAGGGCATGACTTACCAGATTTAAAACAGTGATGTACACTTTCATATAAATAAAATGTAGCACTGTAATCAATGTCATTAAAATCAATTCTTAGTTATCGCTACCACTAAACAAAGATCCCAAGACATCCCATTCCAGGTCACATCAGACCGACCTAACGCGAAATTTGACCGACCAATGAAATGACTGACAAGAAGTCGACATTAGCGAATCAGAACGTAATTTCAAATTTGCGACTACGCTACGAAACAAATTTGACAAATTCTCAATAAAAAATTTGAAACCTGAACAGAAGAACATTCTGAAATGGCTAATATATGCTTTGGATTGTATTGATTCAGTCGTTAAGCCCGTAACTATCGTTCGGAATACCCATGTTAAAGTTTTCAAGGTTACATGATTAGAAATCATATTCCGACTGTCAATTTCGTGACCTGGTAAACGACGCTCTGATTTGTTTGATGAAAGGTCGTTCTGACGTGACCCCTAATGGGATGTCTTCAGATCTTTGTTTAGCAGTATCGAGAACTTAGATCTGATTTTAATGAGGTTGTACTGTAACCAACTTTAAGCAAACAGAAAATAGTGAATTAGTAAACGTTCACCTCAAGACGGACGTATTTCAGTGTGTACAGTGACAAGAACAGTTAATCTGATTATTTTTGTTTTGTTTGCTTGTTTGTTGTTTAACGCCGCACTCGGCAATATTCCAGCTATATGACGGCGGTCTGTAAATAATTGAGTTTGGACCAGATAATCCAGTGATTGATAACAAGAGCATTGATCCACACAAATGGAATACGATGACATGCATCAACCAAGTCAGCGAGTCTGACCACACGATCCAGTTAGTCGCCTCTTACGACTAGCATAGTCGCCTTTTACGGCAAGCATGAGTTATTGAAGACCTGTTCTACCTCTGATCTTCACGGGTCCAAAATAAAAGATATGTAAACGATGGACACGATTCCCCTAATAACTACCTGGATTGGCTCTACTCATAATCTCGGATGAATTTCAACTTTCAAAACGCGAACAGTCACTGAAACTTCACAAGAAATCCATTGAATCCATTGTTTGTTAGTTTGCATCAGGGTACATGTACTTACGTACACAGTATTCTGGTCAAACAATGCTCTAAAAGGTCATGAGGAAACAAAGGATAAATCCAAGGATACTTTCAATAAAAACCAATAGTCCTATTTAATATCTTTATCTTTGTCTTTGATCTGAAACCAAAACCTTTCAGCTTTAATGTTTTGAAGTGACACTTTCAGAATCATAATTACTACAAACCTTTTAGTGCAATGAAGCGACGACGAGAGTGTGGGAAAAGTTGCCTCTTCACCACACTGAGATTCATTCGTGGGATCAAACTGGGAAGAAACCACGTTAACTCGACAAACGTGAGTATTTCCTTTTTCACATTGTGCATCCCTTCTAGTATAAATGCTGCACATGACTATATAATTATCCCCCGCCCCAACGAAGTTGGCGGGGGATATAGAAATGGGTTCCGTCCGTCCGTGTGTGTGTTTGTGTGTATGTGTGTGTGTGTTTGTGTGTGTGCGCGCGCGTGCGTGTGCGTGTGTGTGTGCGTGTGCGTGTGTGAGTCCCGAAATCGTTTCCGGAGCATAACTAAGAAACCGTTAAATATTTCTCTACGAAACTTTGCATGTCTATCACACTCATGCTGAACTGGTGCCTTTTGCTATTTAGGAATTTTATAAATTTTTATTTTTTACGTTTCCATGGCAACAAGTTGGACTTAGGTTCTATTAGGGTGGTGTTCGTTTCCGGAGCATAACTCAAAAACTGTTAAATCCTTTCTTACAAAACTTTGCATGTCTACTAGGCACATACTGAACTGGTGCCTTTTGCTATTTAGGAATTTTATAAATTTTTATTTTTTACGTTTCCATTGCAACAAGTTGGACTTAGGTTCTATAGGGTAGAGTCTGTTTCCGGAGCATAACTCAAAGCCCATTCAATACTTTCCAACAAAAACTGTGCATGTTTACCAGACACATACTGGACTGGTGCCTCTTGCTATTTAGTAATTTAGTAATTTCACGTTTCCATGGCAATAAGTTGGACTTAGGTTCTACAGGGGTGGTGTTCGTTTCCAGAGTGTAACTCAAAAACCGTTAAATACTTTCTTACAAAACTTTGCATGTCTACCAGGCAGATACTAAACTGGTGGCTTTTGATATATAGCACTTTTAGAATTTTTTATTGTTTATGTTTCCATGACAACAAGTTGGATTTAAGTTTTAATATAGGATTGGTTTACTTGAGTAGTATAACAAATAAACTGTTAAATATTTCCTTGCCAAAAATTGCATGTCTCTATATAAAGCGCATACTGAACTAGTGCCATTTGATATTAAGGAGTTTTAGAAATGTTTATTTTAGAATTTCCATTGCAGCTATTTTGACATGGGCTAAGAGAAATGTTGGGTCAGTTACCTGGTTTGGGACCATAACGTGTTAAAATGGGCGGGGGATATAGATGACTTTGTCAACTATACGCTTGTTATAAATTGCAATGCGTCAGTCCTGTATTATTTATCTGTTATTTCATCTGGCCATGTGAAATATTGCAAGATGTTTAAGGACGATTTATTGTTGGGCAAATCTCTGGGAAATTCCATCAGCATTCTGTGTGGAAAGGAATACTGGAATTCTAAGCAGAACAGCTAATTTCAGTTGATGTTCAGATTTTGAGCCAACGTTTTTTTGACCGTCAGTCCTGCATACACTTTGAACTCAGTCTCATCAGTGAGTGAGTGAGTGAGTGAGTGAGTGAGTGAGTGAAGATTTAACGTCACATCGGCAATATTTCAG